TTTTTTGAACTGCAAAACTACATTTCTGCCTTGTAAATTTGAGTTTATGTTTTCGAGTTGCTTCAAAAAGTTTGCGAAGAAAAACCAAATGCTCTTCAAATACATCATGTCCACCACCAATGTCATCATAATATTTTACCAAACCAATTTGTTGTAAATGACCATATGCTTCTGATATTGCTCGAGCAAGTATAGCAGGTGTATTGGAAAGGCCAAATATTACTCGAGTAAATTCAATATGATGATCCGGTGTCACTGCTGCTGTTTTGAATACATCTTCTTCTTTTATTTTAATGTTGTTAAACGCTTGTTTAATATCAACTACAGTTTTATACTTTTTACCAGCTAATTTCTTTATCATTTCATCCATTTGATCAATAGGAAACGGATCTTTTATAGTTACTGGATTAATAGTACGAGAATAATCAATAACTACACGTTTAGGAGTTGATGCATTAAAAGGTTGTTCTATAACGAATGCGGGTGCTTCATAAGGAGAGTTAGAATAGCGACATACTTTATTTGCAACCCATTTGTCTACCTGTTCACTCATGAATATTCTGTCAAGTTCAGTGATTCTGTAAGGCTTGCATTTTAAAGGTTTATGATCTGATAATTTAATTTCCATTTCTAAGTTAGGAAATTCACCAATTTCCGACTTTGGAGTAGAAAAAATGTCTTCAAAACTGCCCAAAATATTTTGCAGTTTTTCATTTTGCTCTTCGGTTAAAAATGTATCAGCATTTTTATCTGAGTCTTGTTGTTCCAATTTTTCAATTTTAACTTCTTTGTAATTTGAAATAAGTGGTTTAGAAGAAAAACGTGATTCCACTATACAACCAACAAAAGAATCATTTGCTTTAACACAGCCAAATTCTTGTGTAGAAGTAGGAGTAGTAATACAAATTGCTCCGTTCGGTTCAATTATCATAGTCGCATGTACTGCTGACTGCCAATCGCGCCCAAGTATTATTGCTATTGGTAACGACTCACACACTCCAACTTTAGGCATAGTATAATCTATCTTACCTACTTCGATTCTTAATGTTATCCATCCACATGGTGTACAATCGCCATCTGGTGTCGCATAGGTTCCATTTTGCCAAGGATATATAATAGTATTTTCAGGAATAAAACATTTCCTCAAAAGTGTTACACAAGAACCATTGTCTGGTAAAGCATCTATTGTTATGTTGCCATTAATAGTCACTGGAATTTGAGATACTTTTGGAGGTGAAGAATAATCACTATTCTGTAAACAATTAATACTTTTGTTTTTGTGACTTACATCTTTATTACCATTTGTTTCAGTTTTTAAAATTGATTTATCTGAAGCTGATTTATTTTTATTAAACCAAATACTTTTATCTTTATTAATTACTTTATCCGATTTACAATCATAACTAACATGACCTTTTTTTTTTGACAATTAAAACAAATTTGTTCTTCTTTTTTGTCCACTGCTGGGTTATAACGATGAATTTGTTTTGATACTTTTAAAAAATCATTACCTTTAGATACGTTCGCTATTGGTTTACTTGTACTTAATTTGCGTATTGTATCTAAGGGAATTGCATGATCAATAAGTTCTTGTACGGAACAACACATTGCCGTTGCAATCGGAACTGCCCAAATATTATCGGTTATTCCTTCTAATATTAGAGAAACACGGTCAGATTGTTGCATTTTGAAGGGAGCTTTTTCAATAATAGCATCCTTTTCAAAAATGTATTCAACTATTGGTTCATCTGCACGTAGAATGCGCTTCCCTTGGAACTTAATAAAATCAGAAAATGACATTTTACCTTTAAATCGTTCAGATATTTTTTCTTTTCATTCTGGCCATGTATTTAATTGCTGTCCAGATACTTTATGCCAATTTTGAGCTGGTCCACGAAGTCTTGAAACAGCATTAACCAACGTTAAAGAATCAGACCAATGAGCATGCTGTGAAATACGTTCCACCTCAACAATCCATTCTACAACGTTTTCATGTTTTTTGCCATAATAAAATGATATAGCATTTGCTATATAATTAGTAGATACAATCTGTATTTGACTGTTATTACTAACATTCATATTCTCAGCAATAAGTTTTTGAGTAGCAACAAGCTGAATTAATAAATCCATAGGAATTTGATTATTATCCACTTGTAGTAATCCCATAGGTATTACAAGCACGTCGACTGTAAGCATAGTAATTCTATCCGGGTTACAAAACCTTTGGGTAGTGCGAGCATGTCGAAGGTAATACCTTATAGACTAACCGAGGCCATGGAGACCTCGGCACCCATGAGTCTCTTTTCCTGTTATTTCCGTTTTCCTTATTGTCGACTTTACAGAAGCACGTAAACGTAGGAGTAACACTAGCATATATACGGATACGTTTGTATACTAGGGCAGAACTAACTTGTGTCTTCGCCTCAACACGTAGTCTATGTTTCACTCCTTGCGGCTGAACCGTAGATTACCTTAGTACTTAGTTAGTTTTCATTGTACTTGTTTAAATTCATTTAATAAAGTCTTACGTACATTTAACGTTCATGTATTTTGTCTCAACCTCTGACGTTTTCCACCTACCAATCAACAACGAGGTCTCCGTCATTAAATAATCGTACGAGCTCAACTCTATCAAGTCGAGGCTCGCTACACACTGCTCCGATTTGTAAATTTTTTAACGCTTCATTTTCTTGTTGCAAGTCTGCTATTCTTTTTGAATTTTCATTTTGTTTCACTCGAGAAGCAATTAAAGCTTCTTGCAAGTTATCAGCGATAACTCTTTCATTGTCAGCCAATAGAAAATCAATTAATTCATCTTTATTACCTTTCTCAGGAAGGTGACGAAATTTTAATTCTTTTTTCAACTCGTCCATTTTGATACTTTTCAACACGTTAATATCAGTTGAGTCTAAATTATTCATTTTGAAACTTAATTACATTCACAATTTATAAACAACTAAATGTATGAAAACGTAACTGCGGAAAAAAAAAATTTTTAAACGAAAAACGCACTCACGAACGGACAACAACACTTATCACGACTGTATAACGCGGTAACAGTTTCTACTCACAACTGAGAAACATGGTATACTCGATTCCAATATCGATGCTAACTTCAAACATAGAGGTTAACCTTAAATGAAACTCATGTCCGATGAGACGTTAAACTTTCAGTACACTCGAAATTTACAACGAAATACTACAAACTACAAATTACGTTATAAAATTTTAAGATTTGCCACAGCGCCATGTAATATATTTAATAAGACTAATATATTTAATACATAATAAGATTAATATATTTAATACACAATACAATAAAAGCATATAAAGTAATATGTAATAATATGTTACCACACGGGTGACATAACAACGACTACTGATATAACCTGCTAACTGATATTATAATTAATATTACTTACAGTGTGACCTTACAACACCAGGATCACAGGATTCCATTTGTTGATATGGCGCACCGTGGCTTTGCCGCGGCGCAGAAAAATTGGATTCAGGCTAAAATACAGTGTTTGGAAATTTTAGATATGAACTGGCATACCCTGCATACCTCAAATGATGCCCCTGTGTAAACTGCATTACCTGAAATCATAAACAACAATATTATTGATTATGATTAAATAAAAATTGTAAATAAAACGAATATTTATACTATTAATCTTACAAGGAATCATATTTTTATAGATCCCATCAACTTCTTTGTTTTCTAATTTAATTTCCATGTCACTTTTCTCTACGGTTTTGGACTCTGAGTATATTAATTTTGTTCTTTTCTCTACTAGATTTGATATGTTTGGATAGACTTTTGAAAAATATTGAAGTTCCAGTTTTAATTGATCAAGATCTATACTTACTATAGATTACTAGGTATATTAGCAAAATGTAGATATATCAACTAGATTACAAGTAAATAATAATATTATGTAAAAAAATTCGTGTCCGAGGATTGTGAATTTGTATGTTATTATATACTATTGTTAATTTAGTAACATAATTGAATATAAAATTGTAATTTAATATATTTTTATTAAAAGTGCACCATAACGAAAGGGCCTCTCATGACAGCAGCCCCGGTGGATTTCTCCCACTCTCAAACTGGGTCAGTCCGCCACTGGGCCCTAATCCCTTAGTCTTTGCAGGGCCGTTGTACAGTATTTAAATGGTTAAGAAACTTTCTCTTTGGGAGAGGAAGTGTTAAATCTCATGCAGTGTTAAGCTTTTAAAACAATAATATTTACAACATTAAAATCAAATGTAAACTTTTATATGATAACTATTATACATTTTTATACGATAAAAGTTTTAACAAATGTTAAAAAAAATCATTTTAATCCAAAATATATATAATATAAATTGTCAAAAATCATAAAAAATATTTTTTTATACTAATTAGCATACTACAAAAAAATTGTAGCCACACATTTTTGTAGGCCCTAGGCACAGTGCCTATAGTGCTTATGCGCTAAGACGGCCCTACCTCTTCATGTGTGATTAACCAGCTGTGCAATCGCGCCGTTATCATCACGCGTAAATTTTCGTTATTCTGTGTTTTCAATTTCTATCGGTCATGCTGTATGTAAAGTCTTAGAGATCATGTTCTCAGTGCTGCAAGTTTTTTTAAGTTCCTTTGTTTTCAATTTTAATGTTGTGGCACTGAGATATTTTTATTGTAATAATATTATGGTGTCTCACGAGCTTTCGTGGTAAATGTCATCGGCACCATCGCTCTTTCTGTTTGTGTTCGTCGATGTGTACACATTAGTGCTCTGCACGGTCCGTTATTTTAAGGACCAGACCGGATTACAAATTTTACCAGGGGACCGAAGTCGGACCAGACCACACTTAAACGTTAATCAAAGACCAAAATTGGACCAAACCAACGGCTTCATATTATTTTTAGACCGGATCGGACCAGTAATTAAATAACATTTAATTAAGTATACCGTAGACCAGAATGTCGGTCCGATCTTAAAACATTTTGGACCGTTTATGGACCGGTCCGTAAGGTTCTGTCTGTATTAGCCCAGACCGTGCCATATGATGCGTTTAGTATTACACTTGACCGGGACTAACCGACTTTATAAATAAATATATACCTAAAGTTGTAGGTTTTTTTTCGTTTTATTTATTTAAATAACAATATCTGTATTTAGGATTTAAGTACCATGATTGGGACCGGACTGAACTGATTTTCATTTCTTATTTTTTGAAACCGGACCGGACTGAAAATAATGTATTTGATCTGAGGACTGGACCGAACTACTCCTAAAAATTATAGAACTGGACCAAACCGACGATTAAATAATTTTTGTATGTTAGGACCGTACTAAACCGGACCACGGTTCGGTCCGATTCGGACCGCACTGATTAAGACCGGACCATTAAGTAGACATCAATATTAATTTTCTTGAATTTCGTTCTCGTTCCTGTTTACAGCCATCTTGTCCAAAACCACGTTTTTCTTTGTGTTGTATTTTGTCTGCCGTCTGGTAAGTGGCGTTCAGTAACTTAAAGTTACTCTTGCACTTTAGTTTGCATTGTTCCAGATTGGTCATTTCTGGGTGGCATTTGTGAATAGCAGCGTGATTTTTCATCATCGTTTTGCATTGCGCTGTAACGGGGACTTGTGAGTTATTCGTCAACAACTGTCAGCATACGATTGTGTGTATGCGTGGTCAACTTGTGCTTTTTTTTGTATTAATTTTATTAATTACAGGCCCCGATACATCTCGTGTGTCACAGTTGTATGTGAATATTGGCCGACCACATTATTGTTATAGTTGTATTAGTTTAGTAAAGGTCGTAAAGGACCTAAGCTAGACCATTTATTAATTATTTATATCGTTTTTAGTGTATGCCGTGTGGGACACCCATTTTATTTTTATATATTGTAATATAATTAGTTGTGCTAATTAGTGTGTATAATTAGTGTTAGGTGGGCTTCATCCCCTTCATGCCTCCCTAGTTATGCTTATACTCGTGACACATATACGGTCTTACGGGAGAAATTGATAAATTTGATCAAATAATAGTAAATATCATACTGTAAGAGTTGGAAGTAAAGGCGATGGTGGTTGAAAAATGTTTCATTATTTAGGATAGTTTCTAGTATAGGAAATATTTTTATATCTTATAAAGGGAATTGAAAAGTAAAAGTACATATGATATTATAACTTAAGTTTAAATCAATGTCAAGTAATAATGGACTGATAGGTAATTTGTGTATCAGAAAAATGAAGAGTTTTTTTAAGTATCGAAATAAGAATCAACAACTATAATAATGAATTTCTTGGTGTAGGAAAATATGTTTCATCAATTGAAAAATATCGTATAAGTGATTTTAAATATTGTTATTATTATTATGAAATATGATTAAATACCACTATATGGATAATAAAGTACTCCCTACTCTTCAATAGACCGAATCACATAATGAGAATTGACCAACGAAACTATGAAACGTAGGAGTTGATCGCTCGGTCTGTGTTACATTTTTAGATTATTCTTATTGCATTGAAATTTCCGGATTACGATGATATTTTTCTCCAAGTATAATTTTCCAATAGAATTTGAATTAATTATTTAAATTAATTAGACAAAATATAAATTAATAATTATAACAGGTATAATTGCAAGTTTCATTTTATTTTAAAATTACGTAAGGAGTGCTATCGCACCATCGCACACGTGTTGTTGACACGAGTCGCCACTGTATATAAATAATTATTTTGTAATAAAATTTAGAACTCTACAGCTCTAAAACTTATATTATAGGCCACCAATGT